ACTCCTTGCTGAAGGCACCCAGATGAAATTCGGCGCTCTGCCGCAAACTGCGTCAAAGAAGGATGCCGTAACAAATGGCATCAATAATGGACTTATTTAGCAGATAGACTTTCCAACAGCTGCAGTCTTACCCTCCCCCCTCCCCGCCTTAAAGAACGCGACGTCAGTATTCTCCTGTAGGTAATGCAGGGCAGAAATATGCAACGATATGCCAAAGAGAGAAAGAACGAAGAAGGGTTGACTCAGGCTTCTTTTCAATGTACAAATGCACAAATTTCTAACACCGATTATATAAGCTTGGATCCTGTCTGGGACCATTATCACTGCTGATCAGTGAAACGTTTACAGTGACATACAATCGACAATTTATATTGATTAAGCCGTAAGCTACAATTCCGTCGACCCCATAAACGCTTATTCAAAATATGAGCAGAATGGGCGCAAGTTTAGACAATGAAATAAAATGCATTATTAAACCGATGGGGCCATGCCTCATTCGCATATGGCGGTTATTTCGATCATCGATCAGGCCATTTTAGAAGATATGGCAGTAATTTCAAGTCCAACAAGTTGACTGGATGGAAATAAATTAATTTTAACAAATTATTAAGTTCTATTATCCAATTTTTGTGGTGGTGTGACGAAAGGTATCCGAAGAACGACCCAACGAAAGCAGGATTTTCGACAAGAGAAAGGAACAAAATTTCAGGTCCATGGATTACGAGCGAGGAATTTGCATACAAGTGTGTATCGGTCATCGAACATCGGCTAAATACACCGAAAATACGGCACTGGCACTTCGCACACGTATATATATATATATACGCACACATACCTCGGGTCTACCTTGATCCGGACGAGTTTGTCGTTGAGGAGCTTGACGGTCAATTCGACGTCATGGCCACCGGAACCGACACTGCTGGCGCTACCGTCCGTCGTCGACCTCCAATCTATGAAAAGCAAAGAAAATATAAGACCAATTTCAGGTAGATCATCAGTGGAAAAACCCACCATCACTCTGGACCGAAGCCGTTACTGTCTGTGGAGCCAGTTTCAGACCGGCGGCGAACGACGACGACAACGACAACGATGACCGCTGGTCATCAGATGTTCTGGTCACTGTCGCCATTAGACGGCCGTTGCGAGGTGGTGGTGGCGGCTGCTAAGGTTTCGAGCACGCTTTCTTCATAACGTCAACAATTTTATGGGCTCCATGATGAACTCACCGAAAACACTGAAAAGTTAAGCACCTTTAGAAAAAACGAACTGTCGCAGTCATCCGACAGGCAACGGCGCGCCCACATAAAAAATGCCTACATAAAAACTATCATCGTCTAACATCTGTGCGGGGACAAGAACACCGAAGGATACCAATAAGATTCCGAATCGCCACCGACTCTCATTCACCCCCACGGCTGAACAAAATGATCGCCATGAACCGATCTCGAGTATAATCCGTCGACACGGCCGACGGAACGACCTCTTAAAGTCCTCACTGACCGCCGATTATTTGCATACAGTTCTTATGAAGAGTAACTACCCACTTTGGCGGTGACCAGCTGAACGTCAGTGACGGGTAAAAAAATTGTCTCGGACAAATGACCACAATCACACCGCGTGGACAGCAGCCGTCGGTGAACAATGCAAAAAACAAATTCCTTCAAAAAATGTCACGCTTCGCGGCGACACGCGAAAATGCATCAAATGCCAATAGCCGCGCCGCACCGTCACGGCCA